AAGATTCGAACCCGTGGTTAGTAGATCCTGACACGACTAGACCACTGGGCCAATCTTGTCAACCTTGTCATTACAAATGCCAAACAAGTCCCCCAAACCCCGATATAATTCCTTGTAATAAACAAAGTTTCGAACAAATAGGTGTGACGTGATTAACAGCAAAACAACTCGTTCACAGCGTACGTGCAAAGCAAATCACATATCAAGCATTGGCGTTATTTATCTTGACAGAATGTGTTAAGATGCAGACACTCCATAAGGTGTGTGCATGGTTGCAACAGGTATGAGGACTCCGCCCCTGTTTTCTTGGCAGGAAATCCTTAAAAATCTATTCCAGAGGTAGCGTGGGTAGACGGGCACGAAGTAACACACAGGAGCCGAGCTAAAATAATCGGATTGATGTGTAAAACGTTAGGATATCACCTCCAGGGGTATCGGGAAATGCAAACTGTTCTGACATTTTGTACTGTTGTTCGTGATGTTGGGACGCACCAATGTTTACAGTTAAATTTAGCTGCGGTGTATTGGCACACTCAACCACTGACTCATCGCTAACTATGATACACGGTCGTCATGGACAACATTTACCTCGGTAACTACAATAGTAAGCTGGTTCCACTCTTCAGGAGATTGGTTGAAGATGCTTGTGGAGATTGTGTACTTTCTTTTGAGTTGTTCCTGGTTGCTGCGGGGCACAGGTGACCGAATGATCAAGGATCTACACCTCTCAGCTGAGGTACCCACTTGGCCTTACAAGGAGACGCGGCTGTTGAGTTCGAGCCCAGGTTTAACCCGATTGTGACCTATGGTTTGGCAGCGACTTACTAGTGGAAAAGAGGCATTATAATGACCCGGGTCATGTTGTGCTTTCCTGGTTAGTTTGAACAAAGCAAACCAGTGGTTGATATGATGAGCAACGGTTAAACAGGAAATGATAGCGTACACTGAACTAGTACTCATGTGCCACGACTGGATATGGGATTTGTACGTCATTAACCGGTTCGAATCTTCAGGCATATGTCTTTGGTTGAAAGTATTAAGGGCAACAGAACCAACATGTTCAAGGTTAAAATTGATAATAATTTATTAGAAAACAATTGAAAACAGAGTGAGTGAGTGATTGTGAATGAGCGATATATACGATATCGGTCTGTGAACGATCCCACTGTGTTTCCAACGAACCAATGCACATGGTTGTTTAGAGCAGGACAAGCTTATTCTCTTTGTGAACATCTGATCACTGATCATCGTCACTGTTTTTCAGTGATCCATTCATATACCATTTTCACTGCTATTTGAACTTTTAGTACCAATGGAATCTGTTTGGACGGATAATCGAGACTGGCTATTCTTTGGCATTTACGTCTTATGTTTCTAACATTTACAACTTCAACGCATCAGTGACAAAAATGATGTCCGAGGCAATTAGCTAACTTGTGCCTCATTTTGGTGTTTTTTTCTTGTTCTTGTTTGATCTAATTTTTTGTGTGTGCATGTGCGTGTGTGTGTGTGTGTGCGTGTGTGTGTATGTGTGTGTAAATAGTTGATTAGTCTTTGCATGTGTTTGTGACGGGAGTCAACGGAGGGCCAGGAAACGCTCATCTATTCCCACACATAAGCCCTATTTGACAGTGATTCATAAACACATGGCCATGATATAGTAGGAAACGTAAAAGCGACTCTGCTTTTAGCAGAGATTTCTTATGGTTATGGAAATAGTTGTGTCGCTTTGGAACACTTGGGATGAGTGTTGGTGTGTTGGGATTGGCTCGGGCCTGGCATGGAGGGAGCAATAACTTGTAGAATGTCTGCTGGTTTGGTCGGTACAATATCTTACAACTCTCATAGCAGTGTACTTCCAACCATCGACTCGGTCATCAAACACTGAGTTAAAAGGGGCCTTCATTTAATTTGCCATGTCACATAAACAATACCGTTATTCTACTTATAACTCTCAATGCATTTAGGCCAGGTTACTAGAACATTGCTAAACTAACATACAGTGCCAAACATAGAGTTGTATAAAGGTTTAATATGAACATTTTTTATACGACCCATCCGGAGACGTTAACGCAGATGGATAAAAGTCTGCGGTGGAAAGGGGATGAGTATATGCTCCTAGAAAGAGTGAGTGAGTTATATTCTAACGTCGCCTCTGCATTAGTTCAGTCATTGAGTAGTGAGTAAATGAGTTTTAGTTTTACGCCGCACTCAGCAATACAAGTCAAAACATTCATTACATAACAGTCTCGTGTCCTATTGACTGGGTTCCATCCTATTGCGCAACTTAGTACAATAACCAGCCCAGAATTTTGAGACCTATTCATTCAACTGGATACATAAATGATACATCTAAGCACTTGTATATTGCAACACTACGCTCCTTCTAATCCTTGCAATCACGTCGTGCAGCGTGCTCTGTCGTACAGCGTGCTCTGACAAACGGAAATCTGGAAATCGTGGAAATCTCAAAACGAGGCTCTGCCGCTAGAAAGTGTGGCGGTCTGGTACGGATTTCATATTATATCAATCACATTGTGCGTTACAAAACTACACTGAATACGCGCAAAGATCACACATCAGGTGTAACCAGTGAGCCAGATGACATGTGAATCATTTTACGAACTCATCAAACAGAGGCAGTCTGTGACGTCTAAGTTGAGGTCATGCTGTCTACACCTCGCCATAAAGTATAGAAATACGATGTTATTAAAGTTCAAAATTAAAATTAACTTGTAAATACCATTTTCATATGAAACAAAGAACTGAAATTCAGTGTAGCCCTAGTTGTTTGTGGTGTCTCTTTTCACTTTCACACGAGAAACTTCGGATCGGCTGAAAAATTGGTCATTGTCTGAATAGGTTAATGAGACTCATGTTTCGGTTTGTCCAGCTATATGGCGGTGGTCTGTAAATAATCGAGTCTGGACCAGACAATCCAGTGATCAACAGCATGAGCATCGATCTGCGCAATTGGGAACCGATGACATGTGTCAACCAAGTCAGCGAGCCTGACCACCCGATCCCGTTAGTCGCCTCTTACGACAAGCATGGGTTACTGAAGATCAATTCTAACCCGGATCTTCACGGGTAGTCATAGAGTAAAGAAGGTAAGAGTGGAATGTGTTTGTAAACAACCTATTATTTTATGTTCTCGGGTCTATCAGATTGCCTGGAATACTGCAGATATCAACGTTATGTTACTGTATATTTTTTCGTCGATCAAAAGAAATGTATTTATTGAAATAAACACGTTTCTTGAAAAAAATCAGTGTTATGAAGAATAGCTTTTACAATTATATGATATGCAAATTCTTTTAATACTAGGGTATCTGAGACTAAAAGATCATTTTAGCTGTACATTTTCGGAAATAGAGTTTACATATATGGCATTATTTAACCGCGGACACAGACAAAATTACTGTGTTATATTATATGTTGAAAATAGCAAATATGCTGGTGATATGGTCTCACGCGTCAAACAAAAGCAAGGTTATATTTGTACTAATGAAAGCACATATCCACATTTACGTAATACATTAGTAAATAAAGAAATACCATTTTAACATATCAGTGAGTGAGTATGGTGTTATGCCGCTTTTAGCAATATTCCAGCGTTATCATGGCGGGGGACACCAGAGATGGGCTTCACACATTATACCCATGTGGGGAATCGAACCCGGTTCTTCAGTGTGATGAGCGGACGCTTTAACCATTAGCTAGGCTACCCCACCACCCCTTTAACATATCAAAATAGTGTGAGTGAGTGAGTTAAGTTCAACGCTACTTTTAACAGAAATACATCACACCGGGTGGGATGAAACCTCGAAGTGATGCATAATTCACACGTTAAGCCCAATGGAATAAAAACCACTTGTATGCTGCCGACACCTTTGAAGCTGGGATTCGAACCCACAACTACACAAGGGACGCATCATCTAAGGCAGAAACACCAATAACCATAGTTATGCACTAAGTTACCGAGATTCCCCAGACCTGATCGCCGTGAGACACGGTCCCTGCTGGGTTGCTCATAAACATCACAGGGGCCCATCCTCGGCGCAAGTCAGGATGCTAATGATCTGAACATTTGACAGACATCTGTGGAAATTAACAGACATCCAAGGCAGCAAACAGACTTCTGAGGCTGTGACGCAGTCAGCGGTCAACGCCTGGTGAAATAAACCCATCTCCCAGAAAACCCCGATTCCACTGAGATAAGATTATGGCATGACACGATAACGTGTTCAATCAGATTTTGACATTCGTGATATCTAACAGAAAGCGTTATCTGTTTTAAGGGGTAAGTGTTGATTTTGATATATGTGCTATAGAAAGGTCGGTATTAACCGTTGACAGATTTTAATGACTACAACACAGTGTTTTGGTTGCTGATTGATAATGGCGAAAAAACAACCGTATCTGAGGCATGATTTAGTTAAAAAAGTAGAGGCGATGAAAACAAATAAAACTTGGGTTGTTTTAACTTTTCCGGAAAGTGATTTGGGTTTAAAGCCGCTTTAAATAATATTTTAATAGTGCATGGTATAGGAAGAAAGCCTGAAATGAACGTCGTGACCGATGACGAACATTTGGACAATGAACTAAGATCAGCGGATCCTGGCGAGGATAAGAGACATTAATCTCAGAATTCATTTATTTTTTTCTGAATTCGTTATTTTAGATGAGGAATCCATTTAAATGTGTCATTCCAGTATATTGCCCTGAAAAACCCATTCGCGGAATTTGGCTCAGTCTAAATTTCAGCTAACATTCTCATTCATTGTGTTTAATGTGTCTCGGGTGTATCGGCAGATCAGGATATGCTTATACTTTTCGCGAACACCTGGTGTCTTCACTCATTTTTTCAGAGATCCATTCATATGATTGTCACCACAACTGTGTCTCTGAAATTCAACTGAATTCCTTTGGGTGAATAACCGAGACTGATTGTTCTCTGGCGTTGCCATTTTAGATAAAAAATGAAGACCAACAAGTTATATTTCTACATATTTACTTGATATAAGATTAAATAAATAAAATTTCCTTTAAATACAAATAAATGTTAGATAATATCATATCCCCACTTCGAACAGCTAGCATCTCATGTTTTGTACATATGTCTATATCACAGCAAAGTGTCAGTCACGTGGGTATCACATTCCGGAAATGACGTTGGGCTAGGGTTATCGACCCTTGTTTTGAAAATTCTCTGCCTTGGGTCAACGCTTCTCGCCGAAACCACACCCGGAGAAAATGTTTTGCTCCGGTTCATGACAGTGTGTCTACTTGGTAATATCACCCATACATGTATACACATTAGCTACTCTAAATTGTGCCTTTTTCACGTAACGTTAGAAACCAAAAATAATTTAGAGACAGATATATGTAATCTTAGTATATACTGGCACACTATAGTAAATCAGCTAGTTGATACTTGTCATTTACTACTTGTCACTAAGTACATTGTTAAAATGTATCCATTTGGCATTGTTGCCCTGCGAGACTTGGTCACATATCGAAAAGTCCCAGAGAATTTTCAAGGGTGTTCTTTAGTCAATCACACGAAACGAACAGGTTCCAATATCCGATGTGGAATCCTGCCACAGTTAGTGCCTGTCTGACAAGTCAGAATCACTGTCACGTGACTTCTTTCCCTTTGAACCGTGTTTACATTTAGGAGAGGACGGTGTCTTGTCTGTTTTTTCCTTCTTCGTTTTCGACTTCGCCTTACTCTTCTTCTTCTCCTCCATCTCCTCCTCGTTGTCGTGCTGTATTGACATGATGCGCTGCCTCACATACACAAACGGCCTGGACTTCTTAGGCAGGGGGGTTTCTTTGGGAGGTTCTGGTTTGGATTGCTTCTGGCGATACTTGGCAGCAGCTGCACTTGCTCCAGGACTAGAAACTGGAGGGGGTACGGGCTTCGCTTCAGGTTCCTTCTTTTTCTTTGAGAGAAGTCTCTGCATGAATCCCATCCCTTTTTCTTTCTTTGGGGGAGGTTGCGTCTTTTTCGCATCGTCCGCTGACTCCTCTGCTGATTCTTTACTGGTCCTCCTCCTATCACTAAAATCTGTCTGAGGATCTGATGACGAGACATTGGAGGGAGTCAAGGAAAGGGTGACAGAATCTCCTGAGGCAGCAGACATATAGGAGGATGTTGATATGTCTGAACATGAAGAGGGGGTCCTGGTCTCACAGATAGCTGGAAGTGATGGCCTCTGTTGGGGTTTAGCTGTTTTCTGGGCTTGGGAGTAGAGTTCTGGTTGTGGAGATGGTTGAGGATCAGCCTGAGATGCTTTGACTGGAATCTTACTAGGTGAGGTTCCTCTTTGTTGATTATTCTGAGAAACCTTTTTCATATCCTGTAGTTTTTGGGTAGGAACAGTGGCTATTCTGCCTGGGGCGGAGTTGTATCTAAGTAGAGGTAGACGGCTTGTAGGAGACTGGCTCCCAAGGCGAACAGTCGAAGGACTGTCGACTGAATACTGTCTGGGTAAACTTTGTGTTCTATAGCCAACATTATCCTTAGATTTGTCCTGCCCTCGACCTTTCAAAGTGGTTATCGGCTGTGGTTTCCTCACTGGAGATCTTTCATTCCGTATGTGCTTAGGCCTGTTTGGATCCTGGTCCTGGTGGGACTGATCCTTTGGTTTGAGAATAGCCTTTGTCTCTGCCAAAAGAAGCTGGAGCTGTTTCTGTCTTTCGTCCTCACTAGGTGACCCTGGTGACATCTTCCCATCTTTACAGCTTCCCGTACTGTCGACCATCACAGTAGGAGAACTCTGCCCTGAGGAATCAGAACCTCTGGTTCGACTGAGAAACGATTTTCCGAAAAATACATCACCCTCACAGCCACGGGGCGTGGGGCTGTTCAGTTTCTCAGATACATTTCTCAGCTTTGATATGCACTGAGTTATTCTTCCGTCAAGAGCTGCAGGATCTGTCTCCGTCGACACATCATGTCTCTCAGCCCTAGATGTCATAGTGTCCTTATCTTCAACCCTAATTTTAGGAACTATACTCTTTTGAGAGGTAGAACCTCCAAATTTACTATCAGCAATTTGTTTGGTCTGACTAAATGTACTAGTTGCTTTGTCAGTCTTCGAAACATAGAAAGTCATGGTCCCTTTCGAAAATAAGTGTCGGATAGGGGTAGATGTCTCTTTCTCGAACGTCATTTTCGACACTGTGTTCACACCAACACTGACGGAGTTCCTGAGTGGCTCTTCGCGTCTCTTCAAGAGGGGACTACCCTCAGGGGTAGAAGCAGGTACGAGAGTTTGGGTTCCTGCTTCAGCAATTTCAAACGAGTCGGTCCATGTTTCGCTGTCCACCATCTCAACATCTTCTTCATCAGTAGTCAGATCATCAAGCATGAAATCAAAGTGTGCTTCAGGAACAACGATAATATCATCTACGTCTATCTCACTTAGTAAACCTATATATGGCAATGATTCTGTTGAGGTTGCAGCATCCCTGCTCTCATATCTCAGTTGGTTCTCAAGATCTTCAAAGTCAGTGGATGTTGATATACATTTGTCATAAAGGGTGATGGTAGATGTTTGTGTTTCACAGTCAGTCACATCAAAGGTATTTGATATTATTGATAAGGCCATTGTACCGACATCTTGAGTCAAGGGCATCTGAGGCATGGTACAACTATCTGCGAAATGTTTCTCCTCCATGAACAGAGACTGGTGTTCACAAATAGCACAGTCTATCTTACTTATATCTGTCTGAACTTCTTGAAACGACATCGTTTTGCCACATAACACTTCACGGTCTGGCGTTACCTGAGTTTCCTTGCATTCTGTCTCTGGTTTGTCATAGATAAGGATCTCGGTTGTCATAGACCCTTCATCGCGGAGTTTGATGATGTCTGTGGACGTCTCGGAGTCTTCGGTCTTTATCTCCACACCTGTCTGGGCATCGGTCATCACAAGCCTTTCGGTCAGTGTCTCATTGTCCGCTACTGTGATGAAGGTCTCAGTGCCATTATCTCGCATGGTCACAACCTCTGTATATGTTGAAGATTCCATGGTGATCACTGGGTTCGTACACACGCCCATTTCTATGGTAGCAGGTCGTGGAGGGGAGACACCAGTGTTGATCATCTGAGGTTGAGGGGTTATGGTCCACTGGTCAACATAGTGTACGCGAGGGGTCCCTGTTTCCTTGTCACTGGTGTTCACGTCTAACGTTTCTGTACTTGCACAAGATGTTAGCACTTGCATGTCACATGTTTCTGTGGTCTTTGTTTCCCTTTCTACACACTCTGTGCCCACATTCATGTCATGGCTTGGTGCTCTTTCAACACTACTTCCACGTCTCGATGATGGAGGATCAGTTACAGTTGCAACTGACTGAGTAATAGCTCCAATATCTCCTTTAAGTTCTTTAACAGGACTTGTTCTTGAATCTTTCGTATAGGATTTTGTCTGTATCTCCTTATCATGGATCATAGTCTTCATTGTGTTAGTTGCCTTCAGTCTACTCTCTGGACTTGCCTGTGTAGTCTTATCGCCCTGGTTCACTTTCCCTGTAGAGGTAGCACGGTCAGAGGTATTTACACCGGTTGTAATTGTTGCTCTCTCAGACGTGGACAACTTCTCCGTCCAAGTTACCTTACTCTCAAGGCGTACAGGAGGCATTGAGGTTTCCGTGTCCACACAGTTCACTTTCTCTGTCCATGTGACTTTACTGGCCTGTCCACTGTAGTCAGTTCCTATACCAGTATCACGTCGCCGGACACGGAGTGTTTGTGTATTAATTGTCTTAGCATCTGGGGCTGCCATTGTGAAAATGTCCTTCATTACTATAGGTTCAGATGAGGTTTCTTTTTCAAGCATCTCTGGTATGACTCTAACTGGATATATAGTGTTGGTTTCCACATCAGTCATTTCAACTGGTGCCTTCTGATATCGTTCCCGTTCTCTTCTTGTCGACCTCCAATCACCTGTATGTCCACGAGCTGACAGTGAGCTAATAAAGTCATCTTCTGACTCAATGCCTATTGAAGATATCTCTGTCTGGATCCTTCTGCTACGTATGGGTGTTTTGGGGGATGATATCTCAGCCTCTGCTCTTCCTGATAAGCCACCAGTGGCGCTTGACGGTTTGGCAGCCGGGCGATTAACCCTACCTGATGCAGAGGCACTGACATCCTGGCTAGGCTCTTCGGCTTTCATGGTCTGGACATACTGATCATACACAATCATCTTTTCTGTCTGAGTTTTCAGTGATCTAGAGTCAGTTACGGAAGTCATGGTCCCTTTAGTTTTGGAATCATAGCAATAGACACTGACACCTCTGTCCCTCATTTCCGGTGTATCAGTGCACGTTTCCCGCGACGTAAGCACGACTTTGTCTGTTTGAACTTCACCATCAACGATTTTCTTGGTCACATCGGATGACATTGTTGTGCCACTGTCAACCACCGTCCGAATATGGTCCGCATCTGTTTGTGTTTGCTGACATTTGCTCTCGGTGAAGTCTTCTGCTACACCGTTGACATCAGAGCCATTTGACACTGAAATATGCCCTAGTCTAACATCCCCTGGAATAAAATGTACCTGATTCATCATGTCACTGGGCACACAAGGAAGACTGGGCTCCAACAACAACGACATCTTCTGCTGAATCTCCTTCTTCAACAATAGCATCTCTACACCCTTGTCCTTCATTATTATCTGTGTCAAGCTGCAGGTACTTTGCAGGTTCTCGTAATTCTCCTGCAGCCAGTTTTTGTTCTCAATAAACTGCAGTACATTGTCACCAACCAAATCGTCAATCTTTTTCAGGAGTTCTTTTTCAGTTGAACGCACTTTGGAAATGTAACTTATAGCTAGATCACGAATCCGTTCCCGGATTTCTTTTATAAGTGTTTCATACTTTTCAATGACTTTCAGTCTTTGCCCCGTCTCCCCCATCCTACCTTTACACTGCTGGAGCAGCGTGTCAAGCGTCACCTTGTATTTCTCAAACCCGTCACTGAAGCAACACACGTCGTGATCCCGATGATCCTGGAACGTGCAGACCACACATATACACTTCTCACAAGGCTCGCAGTAGAACCGTACAGTCTCCTCAGGATGGCTCTTACACTCAATATCCTTCTCACCTTCAATATCAATTAAACTATGCTTCTGGGTAACCTTGGTTGTCATATGAAGATCCACACAGTTTTTACATAACAACTTGCTACAATCCAGACATTTTGAACATGCCTCGTTCCTCCGAGGCCGAACGGTGTGACATATTTCACACGGGGGGACTTTACAACGCGTACGTTTTTGCACCACCTCGGTTAGATTTGACACGAGGAAATTGTCCTGTAACCTCCGAACTCCGCCGCTCGGTATCTCGGTCTTCTGACGACACAGAGGACAAGTGATGTAACGGCTGTAAACTCCATACCGAGACGGTCGTGTCGAATCCGCGTCAATCTGTTTCTGCAAACAGCCGGAGCAGAACGTGTGTAAACACACCAGGGTCTTCGGCTCCTTAAAAGTCTCCAAACAAATCTTGCAGATCAGAAACTGATCGCTAATCTCCTTCATTAGTTTTGTGCCCGTAGCCATATTGGAGAGTGTTTCTCAAACAAGGTTGTTTATTTTAGGAAAATTTCTAATCTGGCTTCTAAGGCCTATCTGTTGATGATTATACCATCAGTGCTGAACACTCACTGATCCGTCGTGGTGGTATAAATCCATATAAAGTACTTTTGAATAATATCTTTTGTATGATACAAAACAAATGTTCATACCTGTTTCACAGATATCCATGAATTTCACCACTGTCGTTCAGATAGTGAAATAAGTGCGAAACAATTATACAACAAACACCTTCTGTTCACAGATTACCACGGGAAGGTGTACTCACAAGCTCTTTCCTTACTTCATAGAGGGAAGATTTTTCCCACCACTGTTTGATAGCTTGTCTCGGTATGGTGGTAGGTAGTTTTATGCAGGGTAATGTTTACGTGTCGAGTTCCGTCGACTGCAGCCGGCAGAACAGCTGATAAGGGCTGTGAGGTCTTCAACAACTTGTAATGAATTTAACAGCTCGGCTGAAGTAGGTAACATAGCATAATGCAGATATGTTGCAGTTATCCACACACGGGGTATCACATACAGCAGGGGGCTGCCGGTGGAGGCATTCAGCCACCTTTATGGTAATAACCGTGTCGGCCGAGCGAGTCCGTACGTTCTCACTTCCGAGTGCTGCGCTTGCATTGTTCGTAGCACCTTCACAAGCAGCACTGAACATCTGGAATCGTTCTTCGGCTCGGTCGAGCTGGCATGGGAAGGCGATGCACAGAAATCAAAATCTCTCAATGTTTATCGAATTATACCTCGTGAGAAAGTTCCTCATGCTAATTGGCCCATGCGGCATGCTATTGCTAAGCGTTAGAGACTGGCTGATTTCACCAGCCCTCACTTGAAGACCTTGACATCATGCCATCGAGATTCCATGATCTGTGAAAGAGATAAACCATGATTTAGTTACTTAAAGAATAATTGAGACTATTCTGATTTGCTATATTTTCAAGATCTATTTTCACAACGGTGAAGAGAATACTCACAGCGTCATAGATTAAGCGTCGATAACACACACGTAAACAAACGATGCATAAACACAACGGTAGAAAACACCTGTGAAAACATTATATTTACCTGACACACAATCGCACGCTACAGGCGTCTTCGCAATCAATACAGACAGCCGTTGGTAGCAGGGTACTAGTTTGGACGTTTCATTACAGCAAATCACTCCATGAAGTCAGTTCGCTTTGTCAGCATCTTCAGAATGTCTGAAATAGCCCGTTCTTCTTTCTCGTAGCACACTAGACCCTTGTATGTGATCTTGAACTAACAATACAGCCTTAAACAGCCTCCACGTCCAGTCTTTAAATACCTGTAACGTCCACTGAGTCAATAGGTGGCCAAAATGTGTACTCAGTCCCGTTTCTGACTGACCACGGCTTAAACGATTACAGAGACATGTAATAGTCGGCACTGACCAGCCGGCCCCATTAGCATCCTGGGTCGGCACGGTAGGCAAAGGAATGTTAGAACTTCTCCGGGAAACAGAAGCTTCGTTATGTTCTCGCTGGGTACAAATAGAGGTTCTAGTGTTCTGGACCACCTCACACACGCCTCATGATATATTAATCTTCCTTCCGCTCCTCATATTTCCGTATCAGGTTTTTTGCAAACGCTGCGGAGTGTTTTTATGCGCTGTCACTTTGTAATCCATTTATAGATATTCCTTTGTAGCCAGCGACCGATGCCGTGAAATTCATGAATGATAAATAGGCGAATGGGTATCCAAGTATCTACATTATCCCCCGCGTGAACGAACCACCGTCTTCATCTGCCAGGGTTTGGTCCGTGTGTGCCGGCATGCATCAGAATCGGCACCTTTCCATTGATAAACCACTCCGATCGCTGTCAGAGTCAACATCCCATCTCCACGTGCCGTGACGTCATCATCTCGCGCGTTCTCACAGACTCCCACAGACTGCTCCTCTGCTCCAAGTCGCGGTATGCTATATCTGTGTGTGTAGAAAACCTTAGCTCGGCCGTGCAGACTGTTGACTAGATAACACCATCCCTGAGGCTTCAAGAATGACATACGCACGTTCATGACACAAAAAAACATCGCATTTCTTTTATTAAGGGCGCCTCGCTTGGTCGACATGCAAGTGCGCGCAACCTTACGTATAAAACAGAAAAAATGTTTATTTTATTTTAACGCTTGTAGTTTTAAGTTGTAAATAACTTGTAGAGCTCGGCTGTTATCGGCTCCCGTGACGGGCTGTGATATGTCATCGCGTGATTCCTAGTAACCTTCACAGCGAGGATCATCAGGCCCTGCGTGCTCTGCTTGTCTGTCAGGAACTAACCTACATTATCAAATTGTACACAAACACATTGAAGATTGCAGGCAACATTTAAATTTGGCAGGACGGAGTTAAGACAGAGTCATGTTTAAAGTTAACGTTCTATATTTTTTAATAATTTTGATGTCTACACCTGAGGGACAACATAAACAGTTTCCTAACATAATCTGCATGTATTCACAGGATAACGAATTACTAAGTACATGTAATTTTAAAGTATTTTGAAATAGGGAAAGGATTTGTTTGTTTGTTGTTTAACGCCAAACTCAGCAATATTTCAGGGATATGGCGGCGGTCTGTAAATCAGACAATCCAGTGATCAACAGCATGAGTATCGATCTCCTCAATTGGGATACGATGACATGTGTCAACCAAGCCAGCGAGTCTGACCACCCGATCCCGTTAGTCACCTTTTACGACAGGCATGGGATGCTGAAGACTAATTCTGATCCGGATCTTCAAGGGTCGAATTAGGAAAGGGAATATTAGTATACAAGTACACGTATAGCGCGACGTGGCGTTTGGTTTGAATGGTTATGCATATCAGGTATCTTAATCATATACTTGCTCCTGCCCTGAAATTGTGGACAGAATTTATTTATAGCCTTGTTATTTACTGTACTTTGTAAAACTAAATTCGCTGAATCAGTGTAGTTTAGGGAGAAATCATAACATTCGCTGGATCAGTGTAGTTTAGGGAGAAATCATAACATTCGCTGGATCAGTGTAGTTTAGGGAGAAATCATAACATTCGCTGGATCAGTGTAGTTTAGGGAGAAATCATAACATTCGCTGAATCAGTGTAGTTTAGGGAGAAATCATAACATTCGCTGGATCAGTGTAGTTTAGGGAGAAATCATAACATTCGCTGAATCAGTGTAGTTTAGGGAGAAATCATAACATTCGCTGGATCAGTGTAGAAATCATAACATTCGCTGGATAGTTTTTAGGAGAAATCATAACATTCGCTGGATCAGTGTAGTTTAGGGAGAAATCATAACATTCGCTGAATCAGTGTAGTTTAGGGAGAAATCATAACATTCGCTGAATCAGTGTAGTTTAGGGAGAAATCATAACATTCGCTGGATCAGTGTAGTTTAGGGAGAAATCATAACATTCGCTGAATCAGTGTAGTTTAGGGAGAAAACATCATAAGTTTAGGGAGAAATCATAACATTCGCTGAATCAGTGTAGTTTAGGAGAAATCATAACATTCGCTGGATCAGTGTAGTTTAGGGTTTAGGAAAATCATAACATTCGCTGAATCAGTGTAGTAGTTTAGGAGAAATCATAACATTCGCTGGATCAGTGTAGTTTGTAGGAGAGAAATCATAACATTCGCTGAATCAGTGTAGTTTAGGGAGAAATCATAACATTCGCTGAATCAGTGTAGTTTAGTTTAGGGAGAAATCATAACATTCGCTGGATCAGTGTAGTTTAGGGAGAAATCATAACATTCGCTGAATCAGTGTAGTTTAGGGAGAAATCATAACATTCGCTGAATCAGTGTAGTTTAGGGAGAAATCATAACATTCGCTGGATCAGTGTAGTTTAGGGAGAAATCATAACATTCGCTGGATCAGTGTAGTTTAGGGAGAAATCATAACATTCGCTACAGTTTGATATTCATCATTCTGTATTTTAGCATTCTTTTGAGGCGAAAACTCACTCACTCACTCACTCACTCACTCACTCACTCATTCACTGTGCAGTACAGAGTACACAATAGATCAAACCAAAAATACAACATACTTCATGCCTAAGAATACAATACACTTTATATCTAGAACACAATGCACAAGCGCACAACATCTAGAACAAAAACAAAGCACGCTATATCTAGAACAGAATGGGCGGTGGGGTAGCCTAGTGGTTAAAGCGTTCGCTCGTCACGCCGAAGACCCGGGTTCGATTCCCCACATGGGTACAATGTGTGAAGCTCATTTCTGGTGTCCCCTGCCATGATATTGCTGGAACATTGCTAAAAGCGGCGTAAAACGTAACTCACTCACTAGAATAGAGAACGCAGTATTTAGAACGCGGTATACAACACACAATATCTAGAAGACCATACACATAACGCAGTACCCAGAACGCAATACACGTCCCTGAGTACATGCAACACGATGCACCATACCATAGGCGAATCCAGGAATATTGAAAGGGGGGGAGTGTCTATCAGGCGGTACCCCTCCTCGGCTCCGTCAGTGCAAAACATTAACTTCAATGTGATCTTAAGTCATTTTCAAAAGGGGGTTCGAACCCCCTGAACCCCCCTCTGGATCAGCCAGTGCATACGAAATATACAGCGAAAAGACACAACTTGTCGGACAAAAAGCTGCCCCAACAGAGCGTGTCACTCTGGGATCTTCAAAGCACGTTGCCTTCACTCTCCAGAAAACTGTTTGCTTCAGCTTGTGACAACTGCTGTGATAACTGCTTGTGACAATCACCCCATCTCTTCGTCTGGGAACTTCATTTTCCGCCGTGTCTGGAAAAAAGGTACAAATTCTTCTTACGTCGGGCAAATTACCCAATTAGTCGGACAAATCTACAAGGGCTGGCCCCACCGCCCCCCACCGAACTATTATAGGCGAAAGATAAGTCTATTTAAATCCCCAAGAGTTCAAAGCTGTTGATTCCTTCATCGCCACTACTTATTAAATTTGTGTTCTGGACTAAATAGCTCTGTCTGGCTGTGTGCAAATTGAATTGTATCTCCGCCTGAAATCGGTAATTATTTATCTGTGATATGGTTATTTTAAAACAGAAAACAGTAATGGTAGTGTTGTTGGCCCATTGTTTTATGAGTGACAGTGGCAGCAGTAATGGTAGTGTTGTTGGAATTGTTTTATCAGTGACAGTGGCAGCAGTAATGGTAGTGTTGTTGGTTGTTTTATCAGTGACAGTGGCAGCAGTAATGGTAGTGTTGTTGGTTGTTTTATCAGTGACAGTGGCAGCAGTAATGGTAGTGTTGTTGGTTGTTTTATCAGTGACAGTGGCAGCAGTAATGGTAGTGTTGTTGGTTGTTTTATCAGTGACAGTGGCAGCAGTAATGGTGGTGTTGTGTTGTTGGTTGATGGTAGTTTGTTGGCATCAGTGACAGTGGCAGCAGTAATGGTGACAGGTAGTGTTGTTGTTGGTTGTTTTATCAGTGACAGTGGCAGCAGTAATGGTAGTGTTGTTGGTTGTTTTATCAGTGACAGTGGCAGCAGTAATGACAGTGGCAGCAGTAGGTAGTGTTGTTGGTTGTTTTATCAGTGACAGTGGCAGCAGTAATGGTAGTGTTGTTGGTTGTTTTATGGCTTTGTTTTATCAGTGACAGTGGCAGCAGTAATGGTAGTGTTGTTGGTTGTTTTATCAGTGACAGTAATGGCAGCAGTGGCAGCAGTAATGGTAGTGTTGTTGGTTGTTTTATCAGTGACAGTGGCAGCAGTAATGGTAGTGTTGTTGGTTGTTTTATCAGTGACAGTGGTTGCAGTAATGGTAGTGTTGTTGGTTGTTTTATCAGTGACAGTGGCTGCAGTAATGGTAGTGTTGTTGGTTGTTTTATCAGTGACAGTGGTTGCAGTAATGGTAGTGTTGTTGGTTGTTTTATCAGTCACCGTGGTTGCAGTTAAATGAGTGTTGCTTTGCTGGTCAAAAAGTATGTAGAATCACCAAGAAAACGATACAAATGCAGTTATTTTTATGTTTTATTTTTCTACATATTATCTGTCAAGCTCAGGCAATTTGGTTTGGCTATGTTCCAGTCTCACGTTTTGTTTGACCTTTTCTCTTGGTACCCTAAAAAACCGCAAAATCTACAATAAATGCATTAAAAACGTCAGGAAACAAAATATGCAAGAAATATTTTGTGTTTTGGAGATTGATAGAAGTCCCCTAGAATCAAACTTAGACATTAAAGTTCATAAAAAAGCAATCTGAAATTACAATCGCTTGTTAAAGTGACTTCCCCCTTCATGTTGACTGAAATACTGCAAAAAACAAATATAATAGTATTTAGAAACGGTGGTATATTGCGGAGATATGAGAAATGGTACTTTGGTGATAAACAGCTAAAAAGTGTTACTTACTATAAGTACTTAGGGTTAATATTCTCCTCAAGGCTCTTATGGTCAAACGCTTGTAAGACTCTTGCTGCACAGGCATCTAAAGCAATGTTCTCTGTATTTCATTTATTTAGTAAGAATAGATTTATCTCATTTACTACAGCCTGCGAAATATTTGATACGAAAATTGCTCCCGATTTATTATACGCAAGTGAAATTTGGGGCAATAATTATCATCATGAAATAGAGCAAGTGCAAACTACATATTTTAAACGATATTTAAGGATGGGAAAGTTTGCATCCAACAAGGCTATACTTGGTGAGACTGGTAGGTATCATATGTTTATATTAACTCAAATACGATGTATTAAGTATTGGATTAAGTTGTTGCAAATGAATGTAAATCGTTATCCATATCAATGTTATGTATTTCTTAAAAAATAGATGAAAATGGAAAATGTAATTGGGTGTCCAACATTAGAACAATCTTGTTT